TATAGAAAACCTCATTTAATGGAAGAGCACTTTGAAGTGAAGATCAAATATAATAATAATAATGATGATGCTCATTATTTGCTTGCATTTTGAGTTTTTACAGGTTATAGTATTTGTGGAGGACTGGTGGTCATGTGAACTGTGAGTTATGATTCTGCTGTGGCACAAAGTGTCTCCCAAGAGCGCCACAGAGGACATTTTAAGTACATGGAGGGTCTTAATATTTTTCTTTCAAGGAACCAAAACTGCCTGTAAAATGTTTTGGGGGAGACGAAAGGCTCTGTAACATACTTTTCCAGGCTTAATGCTGCCCTACAACAGATACATGCCCTGGGGTGGAGCATTTCGGATCCTTCTACATGCTCAACTGTGTCTAATTATTGTCCTGGAACTATTTCATATTTGAGGAGTTTACTTTGGAGAGGATGTGTCTGCTTGTTGCTGTTGCTTTGCCAGGTTGAAATTATAATAATGCCTCTCCTCCAGAGTTAAAAATAACCACTTTTCAGATGTTTTTTGCTTAGAAGTCTCAATGGGGCAGGAAAGCACATGCAGTAGAGCAAGACCTTTCAGTATGAGACTCCTCAAAAGCTAGGAAGCTGCAGAGAGCTCATGTGCCTGGCCATTAGTGGTGTGCTGAATCTGGATATTGCCTTCAGTGGGAACAGCGCAGTAGGGCACAAGCAGTAAAACTTGCCTGGAGCACAGTATCCCTTGCGGCTGGGTTTCACACACTCGTTGAATTGTTGATGGGAAGGAACCTCTGCGTGCCTCTGACCCAACCTGCACCTTGGAACAAGGCTGGGGTGTGCACTGGATTGAGTCCATTGTGGTTCTGTCTCGTTGAATCTTGAATACCTCCATGCCACCACCAATCTGGTCACCCATCCCACTGTTGCACTTACTGGTGGAACTGCTGTCAGCTGCTTAAGGTAATCTTACTGCTTTCAAGGTAATCCATGGGTCCTTCTCCACAGGTCCTACTCCTCAGCCAGCTGCTTCCCAGCCCAAACTGGCACATGGGGCCACTCCAACCCACATCTCTGCTCAACTCCAGGATGTTTCTGTCCTCCTGACACTGTCCAAGTCCTGCTCAATGGAAGCATTGGTGCTCACTCCGCCAACCACCTCATCTGCTGTTGTCTGCACATTTGTAGAGGGTGCTTCTGCCTTCTGTGGGTTCCACCACTAGACATCTCCTGGCACCATTTCCTGCACTTTCACACACTCTTCTCTCTGGCAAAGCTGTTTTAAGCAGTCCCTGCTGCAGGCTTCCTCCCTTTCCCTCCCCACTTGTGCTGACACAGCTGTTTGGGGGCAGGCTGGCAAACCAGATTGGTGGGCGGATGTGGGATACATGCAGCCCTCACAGATATTTTTGTCCCGGCTGCAGATACTGGGGTTTTTTTTGCTGTGAAGCAGAATGACTCTGACAGTAAAGCTGTAAGCACAGCCAGGCTGCTGTCTGCCATAGGTGAAGGCGATTCACACCCCTGCATGGCATCAGGCAGTGACATCCCCTCGCCTTGCCAGCACAGCTCCTGCATCTGCTGGGATGAAGTGAGTGCCAGGTCTGGTAACTGCAGCCTGCAGCTCACAATGAGAAAGCCAATGCCAATAAGATGTATAATGAGCGTTTAAAAAGCACTTATTTGTCATCCAATCATCTATCATTCTCATTGTGCAAATATTTCTGTTTCCACAACAAAATGACTTGAAGAGAAATGTTCACCAGGAAGAACAAACTTTTGATCCCGTTGATAAAATCAGGACAGTCAAAATGATGAATGTGACACTGATGAAAGCTTGCAAACAAGCTTTAATTTCTGTGGCAAAGAAAAACCCAACCACCACCTCACGGGTTCATCAGTACTTGGTTGTGCCTGGAAATTCAGTGTCAGCTGGAAGTTTGATGGTGACCTCTGATAAGTGAGAAAACAGCGAGGGTTTTAATGAATGACTTGAATAAGAAAATAAATAAGTCACTCCATGTGGTATTAATTCTGATATTTGTTTTGCTATTAAGTTCAGTTAGTGGCATTTTCATTGTGTCGTGACGTTTGTGTTGACAAAGCATCAGGGCACATGAGCACCTCTGGGTGTTCAGCATCACCTTGGACACGTGAGGTAGAACAGGGAGGTGGCTGTCATAGCAAGGAGCTGGGAAGCCTTTTGTGAGTCTGTCATAGAAATAGAAAGGATCCTGCTGAGCATTTTGCTCTCCCTTGTAACATATGCCATAGGACTTCATGCAGTCCTTCTTCTTTGGGCTAGAATGTATTTTTTTAGGGAGGAAAGTCTAGTTTGTTTAGGTCCAGAAAATGGCCATAGGGAAAGAGGCCTTTATTCACAGACTTTGGCAAAGCTGTTTGTATGTTTGATAACCTTCCCTGCTGAACTATGTGGTCTGATCTTAGTCTCAGTTTCTTAACGTGCAATGTTTATTCCTTGGCTCTTGCATCTTTGCTGTGAGGTTTAGAAGCACGGGTTATGAAATGTTGATTTCCCATGCGAGTATTTACAGACAGTGGTTGAGTCACCTGTTAATTTTTGGCTGGATAAAACCAAACTGAGCTCCTTGTTTCTTGCCACGTTTTCAAGACCAAATTCATTCTCACTGAATGAATAAGGCCCTTCCCAACCCAGTGTCCTACATTTGCACTTCTGGTGGTAGCCACTGCCCCAGACTGCTGGCCTGGAAGTGCTGCTCAGTAGAAGTCAATGGGAACCTACCTGGGGTGGTGGGCTACCAGGAAAAGCCAGCACTTGCCACCGAAAACTGTCCCAAATTTAAAGGCATGGCAATGATTTTGCCAGCTTTTAGAATGAAAATGGCCATATAAAAGCTGCTGTTTTCTTAAGGCATACAGCCCAGGACAATCCTTACCTTTCTGCAGAGGGGAGGGAAATGACTTCTTTCTCTAGTGGTGCCCTACATTGCTCATCCCAATGACTGCTAAAATTTTTGTGTGTAATATCACAGCTGTTAGAACTGTAGGTTTTCACTCTTTTCTAGTTTCTGGTGCCTTCAGTGTTTTCCAGGAAAAGCAGACCAAGCTACCCAGGCACAGTACTGACACTCTTCTTGGTTATCTTGCAGAGTGTAGACGTAGCTCCTCCAGGACTACCCAGAGGAGCAGATGGAAACCTAGGAGCTGAAGTACAGAAGCAACACAAAAGGGATCAAGCTATTTCTTTCCTTCAGGAGTACGTAGCACTTGGGTGACCACCCAGCAAGCCTGCCCAGGTCTCTGCTGATCACAGCTCCCTGCAGATCATCCAGTCAGACTGTAACGCTAAGGCCTGATCTGGTGGATCAGATGTGGGCAAGAACATGGCCAGATTTTCCTTTTTACTTTCCTTTGGCAAGACACAGGACTGGATTAACTCTTTGCCCCATTCCTCAACTCCGTAGCGTTGCCTTCCAGGCTCTTCGCCAGGGACAAAGCTATTAAGGATGCATACAAAGGTTTGGTCATACAGAGATCCACAGGACAATGAGAGGAGAGGGAATGCTCTTCCTCTTCAAGTATGATATTATATTAGAACACACAGGCTGGTGCAGAAGCAGATGCTTTGGCCCATACAAAAGGAGAGAGTTGGAGTAATCCCCGAATAAATAACCTTGACTAATGCCATAATGAGCTAATTGCAGCTTTTGGAAGCTCTTCAGTACAGGGTAATGTTCAACCTTGATCCTTGAACTCAGTTTATTTTCGGCTTCATGAAAACAAAATTGCTCACCTGACGTAGGAGCTCGTGTTAGATTTTCAGAAGCAATTTAAATACTTGTGGTAGAATCCGCAAAGAGAATTGGATGCTTTGTTTCCTTTTAATTTGGTGGAAGTGAAGTGCCCAATTGCTTTTGCAGTTCTGAGCCCTGCAGGGTTATGACACTCCCGTCCTCACATCCCTTCAGTCTCTTGGCTAAAAGGAAACTGGGCTTTTTTTTGTAGGGTTTTTTGTTTTTCTTTTTTTTTCCTCCTTTTGCAGAGGGGAAAAAAGGAGCAGAATGTGCCTTTACCTCAGTTGCTTCAGTGCAAAGTCTGGTCTCAAAGTGCTGAGAAACTGACCTAATGAAGCAGATAGAGGGCATGCATGTTTTCTGCTCAGTGCTCAGCTGCGGGGACTGTATTGACCAGTTTAGCAGTAGAACAAACTTTTGGGTGCAAGAACAATAGCACACAGAAATCAAAGTACATATATTGATGCTTGAAGGGTGGGTTTTGCTTGATTTTTTTTTGATTTTTTTTTATCAGAAGGCTATATGCTTAGAGATCTAACTCCTGTTTATATCATCTTGATCTAACCATCATGGCGCTGTGAGATTTCACTGCGTTAGGGCTGTGGCAGTGAGAGTGGAAGAGCAGAGCTGGGTGCCCCATGGGGAGCAGAGAGGTGGGCAGCACAGTGTGGTAGATTTGAAGGGGGTACCTGATCACAGCTCAGGAAAGTTGGAAAACACCTCTAGAATCATGCAGTCCAACCCATCCCCACCGCGCCCGCTGCCCACGTCCCTCAGTGCCACATCTCCACGGCTCTTGAACACCTCCAAAGATGGTGAAGACAGTGCCTCCACCACCTCCCTGGGCAGACTGTGCCAGCGCATCACCACTCTTTCAGAGAAAAACATGTTTCCTAATACCCAACTTGACCCTCCTCCGGCACTACTTGAAGCCGTTCCCTCTCGTCCCATCGCGGGAGCATTGGCTGACCCCCCTCGCCACCACCTCAGGTTTGGTACCGTACGACCACTTATCCTCACGCTGGCCTCCAGCGGCTACAAACCGTGGAAGGACGTTATCGGCCACCGGCACAAAAGCCGTCCCGGGTCAGGCAGCCCCGCTCAGCACCGCCCCGCCCGCACCGAACCACCTGCGCCCCGGCGGCGGCGCGGCTGTGCGGGGCGGGGCGGGGGAGGTCCCGGTGCTCCGCAGCGCAGCCAACCCGCGCCCGCCGGGGTTGGGCCATAAAAGCGCCGGGAGCCGTCGGGGCCGCGACTGGAGCTGGTGGGAGGTGGTGGTAGCGGTGCCCTACGCGCTTCGGGGTGGGCAGCCCGGCTGGGACACTTCTCGTCCCCGCTCCCAGCGACCGCGCCGGGCTCCCCCCCTCCCCGCTGTCCCCAAGATGCTGTTTTGGCACACGCAGCCGGAGCACTACAACCAGCACTCGACCGGCAGCTACCTGCGGTGAGTCCCCGCGGGGTAACGCAACGGGATCGGCCCGGGGCAGCGCTTCTCGCTGGGAGCCGCGGGCTTCTTTTTCTCGTCCTTCTCTATTAGCGGGGCTCGGCGGTGCCCCCGCTGCCGGCTGCTGCCTGCCCTGCTCGCAGCGGAGCTGCCTCTTCCTTTGAGGACGATGGGCGAGCAGCTCACAATTTCACTTTCTCGACTCGCCTAAACCAGCTTTTTCCTGCCTCTGCACAGTCGCGTTTAATTAAGTGTTCCTAATTTAAGCTCTAAAGAGCTGCGAAACAATAGTCTGCAACATGTGTAGCGCAAACCCGTGTTTCCTCCCCACAGAAGACAACAAAGCAGGCAACTTTGGGAGTTTCCTTTCTGCTGAGCGCTTATGAATTATTTTTTTATGAATATCTAAGGCTGGAATCTCAGAGGGTGCCGGTGGCTGCAGTTGTGCTCAGTTGTGGCACCCTGCAAGCATCCCCAAGGCTGCTGCAGGAGCACGCTGAGTCCAGCAGCGCCAGGTTGGACAGCAGGAAGGGGTTCTGTCCCAGAGGACAGTGGGCATTGGATGGGCTGCCCAGGGTGGTGGGCACAGCCCTGAGCTGCTGAAGCTCAGGGAGTGCTGGAACACCGCTCTCAGACATAGGGTTTGGTTATTGGTTGGCCCTGTGTGGAGCCAGGAGTTGGACTTGATGGTCCTTATGGGTTCCTGCTGTCGCGGGGTGCTCTGTGGGTTTGCAGTATCACAGTGTTGCAGGATCATCCTGTTTGGGTCAGGCTTGACCATGCCGTTCAGCATACTGAATGTTTGCTGCTGTAGCTATGGGGGTTCTTGAGCTGGGGCTCAAAGTCCTCAACTCACATTTATTAGAATGTTAAGTAATGGCTTCAGATGCTTTGGGGAAGGTCAGCTGGGTTAAACACCCAGTTCTTGTGGAGAGCTGTAATTCTGGCCAATTCCTGGGAGCCTGTTGAGACGCACGTTTCTAGAGAGACCCCTCTGCTCTGAGCTGTGCTTCCTAGGGCTGCCTGTGCCCACAGACAGCCTGAGACTGCACCGAGCAAGCTGAAGTTGTGCAGTCCCCTTCCTGTGGATCGTACTTCTGTACAGTCAAAGCCTTTGCAACATCTGTGTAAGTTCTGATGTACCTCAGCGTGGTGTGTATTTGTTATGACAGTAAGACAGTGCTGCAGAGTAACCCTGTAGATCTTCATTCATTGTCACGGGAACTCTGCCTGTATCTCGTTCTGTACCTCCATCTGCCTGAGCCCTGCCTCAGACACCTTTCTCCCTTCCCCAGTACATTCCAGTACATTAACCAATCCTTGGTTAATGGCAGAACCCCAGTGCTTCAGCATAGAGGTGAACATTGGGACAGTTTGAGGATCTCACCCACCTGCTTTTCTCAAGACTTGGTTTGCAGCCTTGAGCTAAGAGTTGAGTCTTAGGGCTTCTTTCAGCCCCTTGTTCTCATCTTCTTTCTGTGTTGCGAGCACTTCTGGCAAGGTGAAATGTTTCATAGGGGGTTGATCCAAAGTTGTGGTATCTATTTCAGACATCTTCTGAGGCATTTCTCTCACTTCATTACCATGGTAAATCATTAGCACTGAGAGGAAAAAACCCTCTCTATGGCCACAGTTGGGTAAGAGCATGCGGTGGTTACGTCAGTGATGCCAGCAAGTAAATGGGGCTGGGTGCCTTGGAGTTGGTGGTAGTGCAGAGGTGTGCAGCTAGGGGGGAGAATGGAAACAGAGGGGTGTTCCTTTGTCCCCGCTTATAAGCGGAGTGGCACGGTTTGCTCTCTGGCTTTGTTCTCCAGGAACAGGAGCTCCGTGTGTGAGCTGGGTACTTCAGCTCTGCTGCAAACTGCTGCCCCATTCCACTGGTGACCTGGGCAGCCTTCAAGGTTGTGGGTGTTAGGATTCGGTGCAAGGTGGATCATTAACAGAACAGGCAAGGAAAATTCGTAATGGCCTTTCCATGTGCCTGTATGCATGGGCATGCTCCTGAACGGTTCTTATTAGAGCTTCTTGTGTGTGGGAATTCCAGGGGGAACAGAACTGCGTGCAGCCTCTGCTGGGAATCTTGGGTCTTCACGCATACGGAGAGAATGGACGGGGTGGAGGGGGGGAAGATCTAATTACTTACACTGAATTGTCTCTGTGTTCAGCATAATCTTTCTAATTGGGAAGGATACAGTGTCTTAAGTAGGTGGACACAACAGCCAGAGAAGTTAGAGGTGTGGGAAAGGCTAATTTGGCTATCCAGCATTAGATGTGCGAAGATAAGGATGCTGGTTCCTGGCATCTCTTTGTGCTAATGGCTCTGTTGTGCTCTCAGCATTGCTGACATCTGTTCTGCTTGGGGTTAGCGTGGGCCGGGAGCAGTCTGGCTGCGAGTCAGCATGCAGGTCAGTGCAAACGTCTTGTAAAGGAGCGAGATCTGGGACTGCACCCAGCTCCTCGTGAAGCTGCTGCTGAGCACCTGTGTGCTTCCATGAAGGCAGAAGTTGCCTTGTCACATTATGGAGGCTAAATTTATTCTTAGCTGTCATAACTCAGCGTTCCTCTGGAGATCATCTCCATTATCTCAGAGCATATGGATCAAATCCAGATTGAGAGCAGAATATTCCATAGAGTCTTTGTAAATAAATGCGCGTGAATTGTGTGTTTCAGAGATGTCCTTGCACTGCCGATCTTCAAGCAGGAGGAACCACAGCTGTCTCCTGAGAATGAAGCCAAACTGCCTCCCTTTCAGTACGTCCTCTGCACAGCCACATCCCCTGCTGTGAAACTGCACGAAGAAACCCTGACCTACCTCAACCAAGGTAGGGTTTGTACTGCGTGGAGGAGGGCACATATCCTGGGAATGATTCATGACAGAGAGATTGAATTCCATACTGGTGCCTCACTGGGAGGGCAGTGGGAAGGGGAAAAGAGGGAAAGAGATGGGAAGGGGATGGAGGAAAGGACAGTGTGGCATGTAAGCATAAAAAATTAAAGATTCCTCAACTGATACAAAATGATGAAGTACCGTTGATTAATTGTTGACTTAAAACATCATGCACAGTTTCATGTAGCCAGGTACTGGCTTGATCTCCAACAGTCTGAACTACAGCCTCCTACCTTCATCTTGAAAGGCCAGGTGAATTCAGCAGGTGGGCAAGCTTTGGACTTGGGGAGGGACCTTGACATTGCAGGCCCCTGGGAGAGCATCATTGCTGCAGTGGATGAGATAGCAAGTACCTGTGGGTTTCTCAGTGCTCTCAGCAGAGGATGGTGTTGCTCCCACTGGCTGCGTGATGTGGCTCTGCTCTGCTGAGTCCCTGACTTGACAAGCTTATGGGGTTCACAGCATAATTTTTATGCAAGACCCTGAGTTTTCCTAGGCATTTTTTTTTTCCTGTGTCAGAATTTGTGCATACACATCTGTGGTTGGAGGTTGGCTGCCTCCTGCATATCGATCCCAGAGGGATCAGACATCTCTAGGCACAGACTATGCAAAAACATACTGCACTTAATTTCTGCCAGTTTGATAACACGGACATTACAATAGCATCAGCCTGAGGGCTGTCTGCCATGTGTTACTGGTGTCCCCTCTGGCTTCTGAGCACTACCCCAGCTCCTCAAGCTCTGTGCATTGAGTGTAAAGCTCACTTTAGTATCTCTCTGGATTTCTCTCAGTGCAAAACAGAGCCTCTGAGCTCTGACACCCTCTGGGTCTGTCTGGCTGTTGGATCTGTTTTTCTGGTAGGCCTGGAGAGCACTGCTAGAAAGACCTGCTAAGTGCTGCAGGCTTTACCCAAGAAGCTCAGATGCCATGTAGATTGGAGGGTGCTTAAGATTTGTGATTGTATTCCCAGTTTATCCACTCAAATACAGCAAAATCCCAGCAGGTGACATGGGGCATGTCAAGGGTGAGATGAGCATGGACTGTGTTCTGCTTACTGTCATGAATAGTTGTCTCCTGCTCCATCTTGACACAGTACTGACTTAACTGACCTGCCACCAGTTGTCAGGTATCTTCTGCAGCTGTCTTCCATCTCCCAAGGGGAGAGTTGGGGATGTGCCCTGGGGAGTGAGGCTGGACATTTTGGAGGAACAAAGCAGGGGTGAGACTGGCAGAAGCCGTGCAGTAGGCAAGAACTGAGAAGGGGCTTGGGGAAGAACTGTAATGCTATTGCTTTGCCATGAAAGATGGAAACAGCATATTTTGTTACGGGATCTTCAAGGTAATTAGCTGTAAAAGATGCTACATCGCCTCCCTTCTAAGTTGAAGAGCTCATTGCCTTCTATTCTTGACAGAAACTTCACATCTTCCTGCCGCCTTCTTAGCAGCATTCTTACCTCACTTCTTTAAGTTCCTAAACAATTTGTCTTCCACCTTACACTGTGCTCCTCTTAGTTTCTTTGAGATCCTATTGACATTCAAGGCTATGCAGTATGCCTGCCTTAAAAGCCATTCTGCCATACTTGGCAAGTTGCTTCAGAATCAACACCAGCAGCTGCACTCCTGTTCCCAGCATTGACTCTTTCTAGTAGGAAGGGCAGGCATTGGCCCTAAAATCCTCTTCCTCTATGCTCTGTCATTTAGACTAAAATCCCTTGCCTCTGCTAGTTAGGAAAAAGGGACTGGAGTCTGCTCCTTTAGGGATACGACCTGCTGTGAGGAGCTTGCATAGTCACTGAGGGTAGTTGTGTATACGATAAGAGGATACTAAGCACACGTTTCCGTCAGCTGTGGTCAGAACCAACAGATATTTCTCTGATGTAATATTAGTGGAGATGTTGCTTGGGATTAAAAAGTTATGAGGATTTGTCTTGCAATAGGTTTTTATGCTTAGGAATGCCTATGTAAGAGAAGGTTTATTTTCTATTAACATCTGTGTTTAAAAACTTGTTCTTTTTCTGTTGAACTCGTGAATAAAAAGTAACAGCAGAAATGAAAATTCTTGAGGCAGAAGAGAAACACTTCTGTGGAAACTACTTTTGATTTTTTTTGAGCTGAATAGTTTCCCAGAGGTTACCTACTGTGCAGTTATTTTCCTCTCGCTGCTCCAAAGTCAGAGGAAAGTGCTGCAACTCCTCACAGGTTGAAACCTGTTCAACAGAAGCCAGGGAATCCCACCCAGGTGCTGCCATGCAGTTCTGAATTGCTCTGAGTACAAGCTAAGGTAAGACTAACAGAAAGTTCACCATAATATTAGAAGAGCTACGCTGTGTGAGCTGAGGTGGGACATGGAGGGAACCTCAGGGCAGCTCAGGTCTTGGAAGCCGTAGCACAGCAGAAGAGCTGACTGACCTCAGCATGCTGTGTCTGTGTGCCATTCCATAAAGCAGCATAGACCATTCCCTACTCCTTATTGCCTCACACTGACCATAAGCGAAGAGACACTTCTTGCACCTTACCCTCTTTCTGTGCTTATTGTGGTCTGGCTAAATGCTGTTACACAAAACTTCCTTCTTGCGTGTGTGCTTGAGTTTTGGGTCAGATGACCTTAGCAAATGGCTAACTTCATTAATGTGTCCTTCTACCCTGTCTGTGCTGAGAGCTTCAGTCACAGCTGGCTCCTAGTAATAAAGATACAAAGAAAGAGTGGCTGTCCCAGTTCCAACAAACCCATTCACCTCCAGTGCAGTGACACATCCAGACTACGAAGACTGGTTTGGGGGTTTTTGGCTGCTTCACTATTTGGCTGTCTGACTCTTGCAGTGTGTTATCCAAACATGCTTCTCTGGCTGGAGCTCTTCACTATTCAGTAGCAGACCGTCTGTCACTGTGCAGCAGCTACACTCCCTGCCTTGGGATGCTCACTTAGGACCAGTTCAGTGTTGGTGAGTGACCAGCTCAGTAGATAGCCCATGTACAGAAATAGGTAGACAAAAGGTCTGGTCTTACAGAGCATGATGGCTTCTGCTGAGCCTTGGGTGGCCCTGGGGAATTGGTCAGTGGCTCTGTGGAGGAAGAGGACTTTAGCCCTGGCTCCCACAGAGGTGAGGGAAAAATCCAAGTGGAGTCCTGATCTGGAGGGGCTGTTCTTAGCAAGGGTGAGGGTGCAAAGGGCAAGGTTGTGTGAAGTTGACTTGGGGACGTTCGCCAGTGGCAGGCTCCCAAGCTTGTCTGCTCTGGTCTGAAACCACAAATGCTCACTGGCCACAGCTCTAGAACTAGCCAGTAAATCAAGCATCTAGAGTCAAATCCTCAGCTTGCTTTCCAAAGACTGACTCATTACACTTGTCTTTCCCGATCTCTTCCCTTCTGTGTCCCACATTCCTTGAGAAATTGGAGCCAGAGCCCTGTTAGTCTCAATTCAACGCTTCTCCTTTGGTCCATGAAGCTGGTAAAGGTGTGTCCTCACACAAGGAGCTGCTGCTGGCACTGCTCCCTTGGTGAGGGAGCACTTCTGTTGACAGAGCTACGCTGTCCAGAAGTCTGCAGCACAACATCACCTAACGTTATTTGGAACTAGCCTGCCTTTTAGCACTATTGCAGTGTCTCTTGTGGATAGGGATTTTTCAGACAAACAGTCAACCAGCAACCATATTACAAACCACTGCTTTAGCAAGAGGTCTTGGTGCAGTTGCATGTTCCATGGTCTGCAGTCATATGGGGTGTGGTTTGAGCAGGGCTGGTTGAAACTAGTTTCAGACATGGACAGAAATGGGAGTAATGAAGGTGGTTCCAGAAACTGCACCAGGAGGAATGCAGAGGAAACAAGCACTCTACAGCAGATCTGAATGCTAATAAATGTGAGGAAATAAAATCATTAAAAAAAAAATAAATTAAAAAAGGGCACACACAACACACAAAAAAGGCCAACAAACAACACAAAGCAAAACTCGTTGCCCAAGGGACTTGGCTTGTAGTGCCAGAACCACATGTGGAGCGTGAGCTGTTCCAGTCATGATTTTGTTTCATGACCAGTGTTGGGTTGGCTCAGAGCCAGAGATCTAAATTGCTCGGAATAGAGGGTGGGTCGGGCTGATGGCAGGAGTCACTGAGACCCAGCTGTGTGCCAGACCCAGCCCTGTCCCTTAGCTGTGCTTGGGAGTAACAGGCCATCACCTGCCTGTGAAGTTTTCCTGCTCTCCAGGTCTGTGGTTTATGACTTGTGGTCCTCAGCCATGTGAGGATTTTCACATCCAGCCTGTTGGGGTTAGGAAGGCTGGCCACCTCTGCTTCGCAGGGTCTTCCAAGAGTTAGTTAGTTTTATTGCCAGTCCTAGACAGTTCGGAAAACAAACAAGCCAAAAACCCAAACCATGAGAGAAAACCACGAACATCCGAGAAGACCTGTGATGTTATTGGGAGCATAGCCGTTGTGGTGCATAAGCAACAGATGCCTCACAAAGCTAAGGACGGACTGAGTTGGGTTCTGTCACGCACCAACAAAAGCTCCAGATATTGGGTCCTCAGGAGTGGATCCAGATCCAAGATGTGTGTGTGTCAACTTGTACGCTTGAAACTGCTGTTGTAGATTTTTTGGCTGTTGTCCTGCCTCAGCTCACTGGAGACATGTTGTGGTTTCCCTTCCAAGGAAAGGCGCGGAAAGCGCAGAGGACGAATGGAAGGTGGTTGCTTGGGTAGATGTCATTGCTTACAACAAAACCTTTGCCTCCCTTAAAACATTTAAAGTTCATACAGTTGGCTAATCTTCTACAGGCAAGGAACTCAGTTTTAAATACTGAGATTTACAGTAAATGAAAAAAGCTGTTTTCTGTTGACGTTAACTCATACGTAATTGGGTTTTTATGGGGTCACAACTGTCGGAATGTTTGTAGTTTTCCTGGAACAGTTCTTTATTTGCCTAAATGAAGTGTAGAGAAGG